TGCAACTGGTGACTTCCTAATCTTGCCCACGAAGGACAGGCAACTGTCTTCAATAAGTTCTTCTTTACTTTAAATGGAAAATCCCCATTTTAACTTCTCCCAGGCTGACTGTAATCTAACCCTTACTGATGTGGGCTCCGCTACCGGGTCGAACTGCGTCTCGAAGCACCAAGTGGACCTACCAGTAAAGGCTTAGATATTCTCCAGCTGGAGTTCTTTGGTCTTTAAGGCCATTTTCCTGGAAATCTTCGGAGACTCTTAAGACTGTTTTCCCCTGGAAAGTCTTGGATGCTCTTAAGACTGTTTTCCCTCAGAAAGTGTTGGATGCTCTTAAGACTGTTTTCCCCTGGAAAGTCTTAAGGGTTAAAGCTTTTGTACAGGGGAAGCTTGCACACGTCCTGTACATTAGCTTTCCTTGCTGAGACTAACTAAAAAATGGCTCCCTTCCCTTCCCAATTGCCTTGAACAAGGGGCAGGACCAAAACTTAACAATGATGGACAGGTGACTTGCCCTATGACTGCAACCAAAGGAAGCCACCTATCTGCAGAGTCCCTGAAACCTACGACTGCAAGCAAACATTTAATACAAAGCAAACAAAGCTGGAGCTCCTGGTACAGCCGTACCAGAACAGTAGTTGCTGGGATTTATAATTCTCCTACAATCAAAGAGCATTCTGAACCCCACCAATGATAGAATTGGGCCAGACTTCCCACACAGAACCCTCATGACCAACAGAAAATACTGTTTTCTGATGGTATTTGACGACCCCTCTGACACTGTCTCGTGATCCCCACAGAGGTCCCGACCCCCAGGTTGAGAAACACTGATCTATAAAAATGCTGAAAGGCCCAGGAGTTCACTTAATACTCTTGCACTTCCATGTCAACCCAGTGAAGCTGTTGGCTCCCATGACAGTACAGTGGTGAATCCAGGTATTAATTTAGACTGCAAATGAGCTCTCCATGGTATCTATCCAAAATAGACCAGTACTTCATCTTGCTCTCTGAAATTTAGTCAAAATCTAGAGTGGATTGAGTCCTTCACTTACATGAGATCTACCAGTGTGGTAGCTCTGCTCTTGGATTGTTAGTAGTTAACAATCAGATCCAAGCTTCTTGACCCTTATCATGTGTTACCATGAGGTATAACTGTACATAGTAAGAGAATTCTTTATTCTTCGATAAAGGTCATATGCTAGTGGTGCACCTCTTCCACTAGATAGGAAAATAAATGTCAACTGGTGCTTAGATATATTCCTCTCCCTTATTCTATTTCTTCTCTGACCTTCATGCTGACTTTCTGCACCTTTTTCTGAAGTTTGCATGATATTTACTATAATATTTAAATTACATCACTTAAAGATTGAATAATGCATAGAATAAGAAAGCAGCACAATTACTTTCCCCCTTCTTTGTAGTTAGGAAAACAGAATTTTAAACTCCCCAGTGTTGCAGGTAATATGTCCTTTCCAAAAGCTGAATTACTGCAGCTTCCCATTCCACACTGTATATGGGTAGTATTTGTCAATGTCAGTAGGCATCTACATCACTGTGCATATTCTGAAGAGGGAGAGGGACAAAGAGCTGCAGGACTTCTGTTCTTTTCTGCAAATCAGGAAGAATACTAATTGTACTCATTAACTCGAACATTTTTTTCCTGAAGTCTGTCTCCAGAGCTAATTTCGCTGAAAACATGTAATGAATGATCAGTCATAAAATATTTATAATATTACAATGTAATGCAATATACTACTACTAATAATATTATATTATAATTATATATTTATATTACATGTAATATAACTAATAATGTTACAATATAATGGTATAGTACAATATAGTAATATTAAATATTGGCATTGTACTATGATAATAACATAATATGTCGTCTCTATGTATATATCTATATAAATAAAAATGTAATGTTAGTTCGTGCTACCATCAGAACTCAAAAACCACTGGGGGAATTGACACCAAATTTGGACACAAGACACCTAACAAACCAATGTATGTCCTCCACTCAAAAAAATTGATTTTGTCATTTGGGAATTGTCGTTTCTGGGATTTATAGTTTACCTACAATCAAAGAGCATTCTGAACTCCACCAATGATGGAATTGGGCCAAACTTAGCATACAGGGCTCCCATGACCAACAGAAAAAACTGGAAAGGTTTGGTGGACATTGACCTTGTGTTTGGGAATTATAGTTCACCCACATCCAGAGAGCTCTGTGGACTCAAACAATGATGGATCTGGACCAAAGTTGGCACGAATATTCCATATGCCCAAATATGAACACAGATGGAGTTTAAGGGAAATAGACCTTGACATTTGGGAGTTGTAGTTGCTGGGATTTATAGTTCACCTACAATCAAAGAGCATTCTGAACTCCACCAATGATGGAATTGGGCCAAACCTAGCACACAGGGCTCCCATGACCAACAGAAAAAACTGGAAAGATTTGGTGGGCATTGACCTTGAGTTTGGGAGTTGTAGTTCACCTACATCCAGAGAGCACTGTGGACTCAAACAATGATGGATCTGGACCAAACTTGGCACAAATACTCAATATGCCCAAATATGAACACTGGTGGAGTTAGGGGGAAAGAGACTTGACATTTGGGAGTTGTAGTTGCTGGGATTTATAGTTCACCTACAATCAAAGAGCATTCTGAATCCCACCAATGATAGAATTGAGTCAAACTTCCAACACAGAACCCCCATGACCACAGAAAATACTTAAGGCCATCCAGTCCAACTCCCTTCACCAGGGCAAGAAAATGTAATCAAAGCCCTCCTGACAAAGAGCCATCCTGCCATCGATATAGATAGATAGATATGATTCACACACACAGATATAGTATCATAGATTTGAAAGGGACCTTTAAAGAAGGACAATGATATGTTGCATGTTCCAGAGTAGGCAAACCAGACACTCTCCACATCAACACTGACAAAGAAACAACAAGAAATACTGTTTACCCACAAGCATAAAGAAATTACATATATTAGAAACCAACACTTTCTCATTACTTTATTTTCCAGATCACCAGACTGGGCCACAGCAACGCGTGGCAGGGGACAGCTACTCTATCTATCTATCTATCTATCTATCTATCTATCTATCTTGTAAGCCGCTCTGAGTCCCCTTCGGGGTGAGAAGGGCTGCATATAAATGTCGTAAATAAATAAATAAAAGCTGTCATAAAGTTAGTGATTAAAAACATAGTACCTCAAAAAGCAAATACCAGAAAAAATGATCTGGATATTTATGGCGGTTTTTCCAGTTAGTGTCATCTGTAGTTATTCTTTTCTCCAAGATTAGAGAACTCTACTCCCTTCCACACACACAATTTAAATATGGATTTTCCCCATAATTTGATGCTGAAAGTGGTGAGATGAAGGAAAAAGCTTTCTTTATTTTCATTGCATTCTATATGAGGATTTTTTTTTTAAAAAAAAAAGCTGTTAAAGTACTTTCTAAAACATATTGAATGTTATACTGCAATTTCATGTCTATTGCCTAAGTTCAGCCTGAATCAATGTTCAGGCTTATTCAACTAGCTTTCATTGATTCAGTATGTTGTTTTAGTTGAGACTAGCAGTTAATTTTAGTCCTAAATTAAAGATTCAACACATCTCCTTGAAAATTAAAATTCAAAGTGAGTTTATATTTATTTATTTATTTATTTATTTACAGTATTTATATTCTGCCCTTCTCACCTTGCAGGGGACTCTGGGTGGATTACAATGTGCATATACATGGCAAACATTCAGTGCCATAGACACTCAACATATATAGACAAACACACAGAAGCCATGAAAGCTTTCCAGCTTTCATGAGGGTATTAATAATAATAATAATAATAATAATAATAATAATAATAATCTTTATTTGTATCCCGCTCCATCTCCCCGATGGGGATTCGGTGCGGCTTACATGAGGCCAAGCCCAAAACAACAATTACATGAAATAAAACAAAACCAAAAACGCAAGTAAGAAACAATAAACACAATTACATAAAACAAAAGACAACATAGCAATATAAAATTACAATAACACAATAAACACAATCACGGTAACATGGGCAAGCTACATGTAATGGATAAAAGAAAATTGGGTATTCTGGCCGCCAGGGGAGCTGTCGCTTCACCGTCCATTTGAGACACTGATGGAGTACTTCTCATTCTTTGCTTGCTTGCTGGAGTTTTTATGGCGTCGTAAATTAGTTAAATTAGCCTCCCCGCATAAGCAGTACCTAAATTTCCTACTTGACAGATGCAACTGTCTTTCGGGCTACAAAAGTCGACAACAAGCTACACACAATGGTCAGAAGCTCACTCCGACCTGGGCTGGCTTTGAACTCATGATCTTTTGTTCAGTAGTGATGTTAATGCAGCTGAATTCCAGCCAGCTGCCCCACAGTGCTGTTGTTGGCTGCAGTGTGCCTTCAAGTTGTTTTCTAACTAATGGCAACCCTAAAGTGACCCTATTGCAGGGCTTTCTGAGGTTAAGAGTGTGTAATTTGTCCAAGGTCACCTAATAAATTTTCATGGCTGAGCGGGGATTTGAATTTCAACCAAGATGGTTTCCTCCCTTTGCTATCAAAACAAGAAACTGAATGTAGACCTTTTGGTTCATGTTCAAGTCTTCTTATGTGAACAAGTCTCATATAAGTGGGCTTTTGTCTTTCAGCGAAATGGAAGTGCTGGGCTGTGTTCATGTTTCTGTGTGTTTAGTCACCCTTGCTCCCACTTCAAGCTCAATTGCTGGTTCTCTAAGAGGGTGAGATGTGTACAAACTTTTAGATCTGGGGCCAAGTTTTGTTTTGTTTTGTTTTTTCAGATTGGAAATGTGTTATTTATGATGCCACAGAGCTTGAAAGTGACTAATTGATGCTATTAAAAGCTATGATGTAATGAGAAAAGAAATAAAATAATTAGCCCCCCTTTTCCCCTGCTTTGAAATTAATCAGTTGGTGCTTTGTCATCTTTACCAGGTGGCATTGTGGATAAGGATCTTCGTCACTACCTCAATTTACGGTTCCAGAAGGGCTCAGTGGACCACGAGCTCCAGCAGATCATCCGAGACAACCTCTACCTCCGAACAGTGCCATGTAAGTTTATGATGGTATTTTAAATTACTGAGTCTTATGGGTGTGATGGATAATTGAGGTAGCAATAAGTACGATTGAGTATCCCTTTTCCGAAAGACTTGGGACCAGAAATGCTTTTGATGTTGTAATTTTGGGGGCAGGAAGGAGCTTGGAATTTTTTCTTGTATAGAGTGAGATATCTTAGGGAATTGGACCCAGCCTAAAACATAAAATTCATTTTTGTTTCCTATACATCTTATAAAAATAGCCCAGTGTTTTCAAAACTTGTATGCATGATACAAAGTTTGTGTACATTTAATCATAATCTCATGTGGACAATTTTGGATTTTGAGGTGTTTCAGATTTCTGGATAAGGGATACCCAACTCGTTGTAATAGCATTGTATACGATGGTGCGTCTGTCTAGAAAAAATAGAAACATCTGCTTTTTGTTTTGTGGAAATCTTGGAATAATATAATTTGTGGGCCTGCGCTGATGTTGAACTTTGTATTCAAGCTGTAGCAGTGGTTACATGAGATTATAACAGTGGCTTTATTCTGTGTCAGTAAAAAAAATTGAACAAATTTTGATTGTAGTTCTTTGTTGTCAGAGTAGCTAAGTACACAGAACTGTATTTGTCATGTTGAGAACCGGAGCAAGGTTTTTGGAAAATGTTGGACTAAAAGAAGATAAAAACTAAGTTTGTGTGAAATATATATATAGTTTGTTTCAATTTCAACACCTTTTCAAGATGGAAAGAGGCTCAAAGCACAAACAGACGTTTACCAATGAGCATTATTTGTATTACTTGTATTCCAGAATCTAGCAATGTCTTCCAATATCTTATAGTATTACTGATGACCAAAAAACAGATCACTCTTGGTAATTTCATAATTTCAGACTATAAATAAGTTCTTTCTCTCTGGTTGATAGTTTTACAGTATTGTGAGATAAGTGTAACTTTGTTTATATGTACAGTACAATATCAATTGGTGACGCAGTGGGTTAAACCACAAACTGCAGAATTTGCTGACCAGAAGGTCAGCAGTTCAAATCCATGGGACGGGGTAAGCTCCCGTTGTTAGCCACAGCTTCTGCCAACCTAGCAACCTAGTTTGAAAACATGCAAATGTGAGTAGATCAATAGGTGCCATTTCACTGGGAAGGTAACACTCGATGCAGTCATGCTGGTCCCATGATCTTGGAGGCATCTATGAACAATATCAGCTCTTCGGTTGAGAAATGGAGATATGCACCATCCCCCAGAGTCGGACTCGACTAGACTGAATGTTAAAGGGAAACCTTTACCTTTTCTATTACAATAGCAATTCTTTTCAATTAATTTAACTTTTTCAATGTCATGAAAGAAAGGAGAACCAAAGCACCTAAAATGTTCTTAGGGTTGGTTGAAGAAAAAAAGATAGGACTTCAAATGTTTTGTGCCTTCTCTTCTGTGCAATCAGAAAATGTTGAATGATGAGCATTATTGCTTTTTTGGAATTATTTTTGGTGAAATAAGATGCAGGCAGCAAGGAAATATAACAACATTGGGGTGCTGTGCTTTGTCAGGATCCGTTCTTGAAGGTTCACCAATGGTAGGAATAGGGGCATCCTGTTATGGAGCATTGATACCTCTGGTGACTCCCTAGGTTGACCTGTTGCTCGCTTTCTCTGGGAAGATAGCAAACAAGAAAAGGGAATCCTTTCATTCAGTCTGCTCTTTATTTATATTTTGGGAGAAAGGCAAATTAAACAATAACATTTATTTATTTATTTATTTGTCATGTCAGGGCAACCAGCCAATTATATTACATTTCTAACAGAACAAAGCAAACAAACAGACAAATTACAAAATTTGTGAGTTTGGTAGTTGATTAAATGTCCTTTGACCAGTATCTGGCCACTTGGAGTGCCTCTGGTGTTGCTGCAAGAAGGTCCTCCATTGTGCATGTGCAGGGCTCAGGTTGCATTGCAGCAGGTGGTCAGTGGTTTGCTCCTCTCCACACTCGCATGTCGAGGATTCCACTTTGTAGCCCCATTTCTGAAGGTTGGCTCTACATCTTGTGGTGCCAGAGCACAGTCTGTTCAGTGCCTTCCAAGTCACCCAGTCCTCTGTGTGCCCAGGGAGGAGTCTCCCGTTTGGTATCAGCCATTGGTTGGGATTCTGGGTTTGAGCCTGCCACTTTTGGACTCTCGCTTGCTGAGGTGTTCCAGCGAGTGTCTCTGTAGATCTTAGAAAACTATTTCTTGATTTAAGTCATTGACGTGCTGGCTGATACCCAAACAGGGGATGAGCTGGAGATGTCACTGCCTTGGTCCTTTCACTATTGGCTGCTACTTCCCGGCGGATGTCAGGTGGTGCAATACCGGCTAAGCAGTGTAATTTCTCCAGTGGTGTAGGGCGCAGACACCCCGTGATAATGTGGCATGTCTCATTAAGAGCCACATCCACTGTTTTAGTGTGGTGAGATGTGTTCCACACTGGGCATGCATACTCAGCAGCAGAGTAGCACAATGCAAGGGCAGATGTCTTCACTGTATCTGGTTGTGATCCCCAGGTTGTGCCAGTCAGCTTTCGTATGATATTGTTTCTAGCACCCACTTTTTGCTTGATGTTCAGGCAGTGCTTCTTGTAGGTCAGAGCACGGTCCAGAGTGACTCCCAGGTATTTGGGTGCACTGCAATGCTCCAGTGGGATTCCTTCCCGGGTGATCTTCAGAGCTCGGGATGTAACATGTAATATAGCATTAACATGTAATATAGCAATAACATGTAATATAGCATTTACCTTCCCACAGCCCTCGTCCCACGCTTCACTACTTTTTTGTTTAATATGTGTTGCTATGTTATACATGTCAGTTGCAAAATGTGCAGCCTGGAAAGGAATGTCTTCTGCTGGTGGCCACGCATGGTGTTTGAATTTGGATTTTATTTTTATTGAGTTTTGCCTTTTCTACCTTTTCCACAGCAAGCATGGTAATGTTGACGTTCTTTGCTCACATCTTAGTCTGAACTTGTTAGTAAGCAGGTATGTCTGTGGAAAAACTCCGACCTCTCTGACCTATATGGTGGGCATTCATATCCCACTCTCCAGTCCTTGCCCCCAGATACTTTTGCTGCAGCAGACCAGCTGGAGAAGGCTATGCTGTCAATAACCTTAATTGCTATGAAAAATGTATTGTAAATTCTATATATTGTAAAACATTCTCTGTTTATCATGGGTCTGCCTTGTGTGTCTTCTTTCTGACATTTTCTGAACTTTACTATGGCACAAAATGGGAGGAGGAAGAAAAGTGTAGCAATGGTTCATGAACCACAGGTATTTTGTCAATGTTCAGCAGTATCAGAGGATTGAGTTTGGATACATGTACAGTCGGCCCTCCATTCTGCATCCATGGATTCAAATAACTCTGGCTCAAACATATCTGGTAATCAAATGCCAAAAAGAAAACTTTGATTTTGTTACTTACAGTATTACTATGTCTAGCTCCCGGCGTAGATCATCCGCTAAGGCGACCAAGGCTGTCTCAGTACCATGTCCCGGCCTAAAGCCAGACTGCGCCGGATCTAGATAAGCTGTGTATTCCAAGAATATTTGGAGTTGTGAGGCCACCACACATTCCAGGACTTTGCCCAAGAAGGGAAGATTGAAAACAGGCCGAAAGTTGTCAAATTGAGTGGGGTTCAGTGATACCAACCTTTTAGTCAGCAAGTTCAGCAGCTCAGTGGTTTAACCAACTGTGCCACCATGGGGCCATACTTTTGTTCCAACTTGCTCAAATAATGAGTATCCTTTCTCCCCTTTCCACGTTAAACAAGGCAAGGAAATGTTTAAGTTACACATGTACAGAACGTAAAGGGAGGTTTTCACAACATATAAACCTTTTCACACAATTTTCTGTTTTCTAAGCAGAATAATTTCCCCAAACACTTTGGGATGTACTGAGGCAAGATCACTACAGAAGCAATATGGACTGGCAAAATGCCGTGTCAAACAGAACTTTTTTGCCATCAGAAAAAAATCCCTTCCCAGAAGATCTAATCAATAAGTAAGGAAAGCTGCTTTTGATGCCACATGCATTTATAATGCAGTGCCATCCTTCACAATAGTTAGGTATTACTTAGCAGTTGAGAGAAAAATGGTAGTTTAAGCCTAAGTTCGTATCTTCCTGGACATGTTTAGTAATTCACACTGTGACTATTAGGTGCAAATAACAAGCGTTTGTAAGAAAGCCCTTGTAAGAAAGCCTGATGAGGGAGTTAATGCTATTGATTTCTTGAAGTTCAAAGCAAAGACACCAAGGCCGGTTACGCAACATTTTGATAAAGCTCCTGCTTCTGACAAAGCTGAGAAACATTGGCAAGAATAGCAGACAAATAAGTTATTAAGCGGAGTAGATAGCAAAGTACAATCGCATGCAAGAATTCGTTGTGTTCATTTTAAGATATAGAATCTTAAGTGATATAGATTTTGGCATGCAGCGGCAGCGTATCTTGTGGCATCCTGCCAGAGATGAGTGTAATTGAAATTGGGTGCTCTTACTGGGTGATATATAGTGGTAAAGAACAAAATAACTCTTAACTTTAAAGCAAGATATCTGCACAAGCGGGAATTCTTTTTAGAAAGTGGCTTATTCAGTTTGAGTAGCGGTTTCATTTGTTTATGTGTTCGATTGTTCATTTTGGCTTAATCACTTTTGTTTTTCCTTGCAAGAAAGTTTATTAACAAATATTTTGAAGGTTTAAGCTCCACGTTCAGACATAAAATGCACAGTTGTGTCATTGGCAAATATTTGTTTCTGAGATTATATCTTCTATACGGTTTGGGACCTGCTCGTCTTCGGGATTGCCTCTTCCCCTATGAACCAGTACGTACCTTGAGATCATCCGGGAAGGCACTGCTATCTCTTCCCTTCTCCGTCTCAAGCATGGTTGGTGGGGACGAGGGAGAGAGCCTTCTCAGTGGTGGCCCCCTGGCTCTGGAACTCCCTCCCTAGGGAGATCAGACAGACTCCTACTTT